GTATGGAAGTTGGACACCCGAGGTGTTAAAATAGACATGTTCATTCAGACTGGTAGGAGGGGCAGAGTTGGGCAGCAGGGCGCAGGTCACGGTGCAGAGAGCATTGAGACCTGGTGGGTAAGGTAACTGGGGTATGCAAGACTGCAGTGGGTGGACCCTGGGTGTGCAAGCAGCAGCTGGCAGACTCTGGCTGAGGGGTGGCAACCGGCAGACCCAGCGAGACAGTGATTGTGAAGCAAGGCACTGTGCAGAACCCAGGGTCACAGTGTTGGGAAATAGAGCCTTGGGACACTGATTGAAAACACCTGTGGGGGTTAAGGCACAGGGAGAGATTCCCAGCCTCACAGGAGAGTTTGTTGGAGAGACCACAGGGTCTTAGAATGTGCAAAAGCCCACCCACATGGGAATTGGCACAAGAAAGGCCCAGTTTGCTCGGGGGAAGTGGCAGAAGGGACTGAGGTTTGATGGAGAGGGGGCCTTGGTGTGCTCCTCCTTGGGTCCAACTTCTTTGGGACTCTCTGAGCTTCCTGGACTTTCTGGAAGTCTATGTCCTTTGCCAGATTGGGGAAGTTCTCTTTTATTATTTGTTCAAATAACTTTTCCACTTGTTGCTCTTCCTCTTCCCCTTCTGGTACCCCTATAATTCTGATGTTGGATCATTTAAAGATGTCCTGGAGGTTCCTAAGCCTCTCCTCATTTTTTTGAATTCTTATTTCTGCATTCTTTTCTGTTTGGTTGTTTCTTTCTTCCTTCTGGCCCATTTTATTGATATGAGTCCCAGTGTCCTTTCCATCTCTATTGGTTCCCTGTACATTGCCTTTATTTCACTTATTGTAGCCTTCATTTTTTCATCTTATTTGTGACCAAATTCAACCAATTCTATGAGCATCCTGATCACCAGAGCTTTGAACTGTGCATCTGATAGGTTGGCTATGTCTTTGTCACTTAGTTGTATTTGTTCTGGTGCTTTGATCTGTTCTTTTGTCTGGCCCATTTTTTTTTGTCTTGATGCACCTGTTAGGCGGGTGAGGGGCAGAGTCTTAGGTATTCACTAGGGTAGGGCAACCCAGTTGCTGGGTTGTGATGCTATATATGGGGCAGGGGTCTGAGAGGGAACAATGGTGCTTGCTCTGCTCTCTGTGGGACTTCAGCCCCTTCTGCTGCTTCCTCCAAGCAAACTGGACCTTTCTGGTGCTGATTCCCATGTGGGTGGGCTTGTGTACGTTCTAGGACCCTGTGGGTCTCTCCAACGAACTCTCCTGTGAGGCTGGGAGTCTCTCCCTGCACCTCATCTCCCACAGGTGTTTTCAATCAGTGTTTTGAGGCTTTATTTCCCAGCACTGGGACCCTGGGTTGTACAGTTTCACCTGGTTTATCTGTGCACGAAGGTGGGACCACCTGGTCTGCCAGCTGCCTTGCACGCTGTGCCCATCCATGATCTGCCACCATGCTGGGTCTACCTGCTGCTATCCCGAGTGCCTGGGGTCTGCCAGCCACCACTTTTTTTTGCCGCGACCCCTCTCTGCCTGGCTGTTTGACTCCGACACTCCTATTGGTCTAGATGAATGTGTCTACTTTAACTCCTTGGTTGTTGGACTTTCATGCAGTTCAATTTTCTATCAGTTCTGGTTGTTTTTTGTTTCTAAATTTTTGTTGTCCTTATTTTGGTTGTGCGAGGAGGCACAGTGTGTCTACCTATGCTTTCATCTTGGCTGGAAGTCCTCAGCCCTTCACTTATTTATTCAGAATATACTTATGGACCACCTAGTGTGTACTAGGCATTATTCAGGAAGACAGGGGTCAAGCCACAAGCAAGACAAAATTCCAGTCCTCATGGCCTTAGCTGTCAGCTGTTTTTTCTTCATTTCCACTTTGCAACAAACTTAGTGCTATCTGTTTGCCAACTCTTGTTTTTCTTTATTCTTTCTTTTCACTTTGGTTTCTTTCTCAATAGATATTTATTGAACTCCCACTATTTGCTGACACTGTGCTTATTTACATGGGGGAGTTGTAAGCATATACTTTCATTTTGTGTCGTGGTATTTTCAAAATGCATTAGCTCAGTGGTTTGTCTTATGATTCTGAATTTGAAGACTTAGTTTAATGTGTTTTGCTCTATATGGAATAGTGTCTTCATTAGGCAATACATTTGTAACAGAACATTTATTATCCAATATTTAAATTCTTGTTTGGAAAAACTGTGATTTCCATTCTTATTTCTTTCAGTGATGTGTTTTCATTTCTTTTTTTTTTTTGTGTGCCATTCTTCTCCTCTTCAAGTCCCAGCATATCCAATGTTTCTTCTTTTCTCTGGCCCACACATTCAATCTGAACAAAAATCTTACAGCATTTTCTTTTGAAGTGTTTCTCATGTTCATGTATATTTCCCCGTTTTCCATTTAATTCATGTTTTTATCGTCTTGCTTCTAGATTGTAGAATTAATTTTTTTAACCTAATCTTCTTATCTATAAAGTCTCCCCTCTTTCTGCTCCTACATGCACATCACCATCAGGGGCATTTCTCTTCTGCATAGAAACATTCTGTGGCTTTATAGGACCTTCAGGAAGAAGTTCAAGCTTTTTCCCCAGGTATTTAAGTCATCCGCAGTCTGGCTATGGGCTATTTTTTCCTAAGCTTCCTTTCAACTTCTGTCCAATTTGGACCCTTAGTGCTGTTTTGTTTTGTTTTTTAATTGGCCCCTGATGCATTTTTGTCTATTGAGCCTTTGCTTATGCTCTTCTGGACCTTCCCTAGAATGGCCTCCCATCTCCTAATATAAACCATCCCCCTACTTTAAGGCTTAGTTGTCCTTAGAGTCTGTTCTGACCCTACCCCAAACACGAAAAGTTTGCTGACCTCAGACCCTCCTCAGCACCTTCAAACCCATTCTTAGTAACTTAATCATAAACTGAGGCCATTAGCAACCATGGTTATACTGGTTCATGATTTGGAGAGCTGAAGCCAGATCTTTTGCTTTGTGTTCCCAGCAGTGTTGAACAAGTGACTCTCAGTTGTGGCTGTCCATTAGTATCATTTATGGAGCTTTAAAAGCAAAACAAAACAAAACAAAACAGCATCTGGTGGGCTGGGCCCAGGGACCAGTAACTTGTGAGAGCTGTCTCGGTGATGAAAATATAGAGCCAAAGCTGAGAGTCAGTATGTGAACACAATCTTGCAGTAAACTCTTTTGACCCACATCAGGAGAACGTGGAGTTTGAGCCCTCTGTGCATATGAGTATGTCAATATATCATTGCATCTCTGCCAGAAGGATTCAAAGCGACCCTTTATAAGTCTGGAGTAAAAATGACTTACTCAACAAGGAAATATGAGTACTCATTATGTGCCAGGCACTAGTCTCGGTGCTGAGGTCACTGAAGTGAACAAAACATGTCTCTGCTGTCCTGGAGCCTCTGCTCTTGGCCATGCAAAGGCAGATCACAAATTAATATCAGGTAATGATGATAAATGCTGTAAAGAAAAATGAAGCAGGATAAGTGGGCAGAGAAAAAAGCAATACTTTCATATAGGCTAGTTTTAAAGATATTTCCTGTCTGCCTTAAATCAGCCAATGCGTTGAAATCCACCCCCCTCCGATACAAGTCTCAGAGCCAGAGCTGGCGGGCCAGCCAGTGTTGAAGTAGGAACTCTTGCTCTCTGCTGTCCCTTATCTATAAGCAAAGGGCTGAGCAGTGGAGCCAGAGGGGTCTCAGAGAGTGGGGGGCTGGAGGGGAGGTGGGGGGGATGTGAGGGTGGGGTGTAAGGAACAGCCAGGGTGCTGTGGATGCACACCTGGGCTGGGAACAGGGATCTGGCCATGAGCCCCATCAGACAGTATTGCAGCTCCCAGGAACCAGTTTTACTTTGTGGTGATCCCCCTCTTATGGTAAGGGTCACAATACAATCCTCATCACTTTAAAAAGATGATACACTTAAATAGCCCAAACTTTGTGTTTCAAAATGTTTCTCTATGTCCAGTGAACATTCTGTGTAGCTGTGAAGTGGATGTTTATTGAAATGATATGCCAGTTTGTTTAATAATTTGCAACATGCATTTCTTTGATAGGTGGAAAGCATGGCAGGTATTAGAACAAATGTATATTTAATGTACATTTTTCTCAGGCACCCTTCCCTGAAGGTCAGTTCTTGAGGTCGGTGTCCCCATCTACTGAGGGATACTATCTTGCAGTTGGAGATGCGGTTAAGACCTGTGTGCACCTGTATGGAGCAGTTTTATAATGAGTATAGTATTATTCTCCATGCCCACAACTCTGTAAGTGAAGGGTATGGGGAGGTTGAGCTCAGGGAGAAAGGCTTGACTCTAGGACAATATTAAATCTTAAGGAGATAGTCTTGCATCATCTTAACCCCAGAAACAGTAGCTTGAGCAATGAAATGAAAGATCACGCATCTGCCGGTAAATTGGGGTTGGTAAAGCTAATGTGTCCTTTTGCCATCCCTTTCTGTGGTGACTGAATTCAAGGCACATCCCCTTTGCTGTCATTTTGTTCCTCAACACAGTCCAAGAAGCCGAGAAAACCTAGAGCCAGAGCTCAATCCCTGGGCATAGAGGGGCACCTCAGCAGGGCAGGAGGCTCTGACCTCCGCCCTCCCCTTCCTGCCCTCAGCAGCCTACACAGAACGCGTCACCTGCTCCAGCCGCACTCTGCAGCCAGCCGGAGGGGAAAGAGCGAGGAAGCGGCGGGCTAGGCCGGGCTGTGCGCACAGCACAGCTGTCACCCAAGGAGAAGCTCTCTCCTGGCCCCGAGCAGCAGCGTGGGTGGGGCGCAGGGAGGGGGCGGGGAGAAGTCGGGAGCAGCTGCGCGGCGGGTCTCCAGGGGGAGCCAAGGTACAAAGGCGGGCCCTGCATCGCCCAGAGCATCCTTTCCCCGCTGGACCCCGCCCGCCCGCAAGCACGCTCGCTCCTGCTGCTGCTGCTGCTGCTCTTGCCTGGCGTGACTTCTTTGTGCTGTGTTTTCTGCCCGTGCCTCCTCTCTGCAGGACCTGTTCGTCCTTCTTCGGGCTATAAGAAGGCAGATGATGAGATGTCCCGGGCCACGTCTGTTGGAGACCAGCTGGAGGCACCAGCCCGCACCATTTACCTCAACCAACCGCATCTCAATAAATTCCGTGACAACCAGATCAGGTAGGAGAAGGCGGCTGAGATATGCTAGAAGCTGTGAATTCACAGCTGGAACGGGGCTCATTTTCCTCTTGTTAGCTTTTCCATGCACCTAGCCAGTCCTCACCCGTGTCCACTTACTCCAGCCCCTTCCACTCCCCTCCCCCTCCCCCTCAAGCCTGGCAGTCTACACCCGAGCTTCCAATGGAGTCATATGTGTTTAGCATCTATCTTTTTCTCCTTTGCATCTATTGCTTGCTGAGGCTGTGTGAGCCCCGAGGAAGTTTTTCTACAAAATGAGGTCTTACATTTTTCATCTCTGAGTTCCCTTCCAAGAATTCTTCCTCGTTCTGTTTTAATCTAGTTGAGAGATTTACCTAGCAATTTACAGACCTTAATGTGGGGAACTGCTTTATAAAAGAATACCACAAGTTGTAAGGACTCACATTCAGCTCCAAAAGGTGCAAGACTTTGTTAAGAGGTTTTCATTTGCTGGGAAACTTTGCCCAGAGTTAGCAGAAAGATGGATAGAAGCTAACCTGTGTGTATTCTTTGCTGCCCACTGTGTCAGATGCTTTAGCTATACTAGCTTCATAAATCCTCATGACCTCCTGAAGAAGGCATTATTACAATGAGATTAGGAATCTGAGATAGCAAGATGTTAAATAATGTACCTATGGTCATACAGCTACTGAATGGCAGAGCTGGAAATAGAACCCAGCCTGTCCGACTACTGAGGCTCAAATTCTCTTTGCTGTTCACAGCTAGATCATTAGGCACAGGTGTTAATACACTTTCAAATTTCATTAAAATTTCAGGCTTAGATAACTTTATCTCTGGGAGTGACTTCAGAGGATGTAGTTCTGTGAGTGGCTCAGAACACCAAGTTCAGGTCTAGGGAACTGATAACCTGAATTCCAATTCAGTGTTCTTTCTAGAAAGCTCTGGCTAAAACTTTGCTGTTGTTACATGTTTAAATATTCCACTATAGTGACAGCATGTGCACAGGCTGCTTAGCCTGACACCCTTATTTAGAAACACCTGGCTGTTGGGCATTGTTGTAGCTTGATAGAATTTGTAGTAGAATAATTGTGCAATTATCTGAAGGTGATACCTTTATTTATTAAAGGGGTGTTAGATTATCCTGGCTTTATTTTGGGTTTTAAGAATGATCATTGGGACGTATTTTATACTTAAAAGTGTAGCTTAGAATAGCTGAGGCCAAATTCAAATAGTGAGTGGGCTTGGCTTAAGATACAGAGCATCAAGCACAGTTAGTTACCACTTCACATACTAGGATGGCTTTAACCAAAAAGGCAATAACAAGTGTTGAAGAGGATGTGGAGAAATTGGAATCCTTGTGCATTGCTGATGGGAATGAAAAATGGTGTAGCTACTTTGGATAACATTGGCAGTTCCTCAAAAGATTGAATGTAAAGTTACCATATGATCTAGTAATTCTACTTCTAGCTATAAATAACCAAGGGAAATGGAAACATGTCCACATAAAAACTGTACACAAATATTTATAGCAGCAATATTCCTAAAAGCCAAAAAGTGGAAATAATCCAAATGTCTATCAGCTGATGAATGAATGAATAAAAGGCCTGCAATGGAATATTATTCAGCCATAAAAGGAATGAAGTACTGACACATACTACAACATGGATGAACCTTGAAAACATGCTAAATGAAAGAAGCCAGTAACCAAAAAGCCTCATATCATAGGTATACCCCTGAGATTTTCTGGGTTCAGTTTGAGCCACCACCCTAAAGTAAGTATCGTGCTAAAGTGAGTCCTAATCTTTTTTTGGTGGAGGTTCTTGCCTTCGATCAGTAAAGAGCGTACCATCTGTGAAGTGCAGTGAAGAGAAGTGCAACCAAACGAAGCGTGCCTGTATGTGATTCTGCTCATATGCAATGCCCAGAAGAGGCCAGTCTATCGAGACCTAGGTAGTTTAGTGGTTCCTGAGGCCAGGGAAGGAGGAGTGATGGCTGGTGTGCATGGGGTTTCATTTGGGGTGCTGTTCACACAACTCTGTGTAGATACTTGGACTCCTTTAGAATCCTGCACCAGCAATGTAGTTCCATTTTCTCAGACCTTCTCTTATGTGTTTTGAGTTAATGACTTAAAAAGATAAAATTTCTTTTAAAAAAGATGTCTACTGTATAAGAATATGTATTGAAGAGTCACTTTTTAAACTTTAGGATATTTTCATAAAATAGCAATATTTTTCTTAGTTTCTATTTAATTTTGGTATCCATTTGTACATGCTTAAAACTGGGAGAATGACTAACGGTCTTTTTTTCCCTAAATTCTCCAGTTTCCATGGAAAATGATTTTTGAAAGCTTTGGAAAAGGGACCTCACAATCTGTTTGTAATCAAGACTCAAAGCTGACTTTTGAGACTGACTTTATTATTAGTCGGAGAGATTCCCAGTACTACCTGTTTTATGGTTTGATTTGTACTTTTTGGGGGGCAGACAGAAATTAATATGGGAATGTGCAGTGAAGGTTGGCTAGGAATAAAGTAGGTAGAAACAAAATACTCTATTTAAAGCCTTATGTAAGTATATAATCAACTTAGCTGAATATTAACATAGTAAATATTAAAATTTATAGAATTTCTGAGTTCATGGCTTATACTATAAGTATAAATTTTAGAATGCACTGAATTGAGTCCAAGAAATTAAAATGTGCCCCTTGCTGTCCTAGAGAATGGCCTTTGAGTGTTTGTTTCACCTTGACTGTATATTTAAATAGGAATTGCTAATGGTTTTGTGACTCACAGTTTATTAAGAGATTTATTATAAAGCATCTTGGCATTATAGTTTAAGGACTTTACAAAATGTTGAGCCACGCTGTTTTAGCACTTTAATATTGCTGAACTCAAGTTATATAAAAATACTGATTTTTAAAAATAAGATTTTTTTTATCTTGGCCATGAATGCTTGCTAAATGTTGATAAAGCTGTTCAAAGGAGTGTTTTCATAAAAGTAAGTTCATAAAGGATTTCTTTTTCTTAATACAGTTTTTCTTGAGAAAGGATAATTTTTTTTTGAGGCTTGGCATGGAGTGTTTATCCTAGATTGATTGCTCCTAAATTGAGATTTTTGAGGAGAACAGACCACCTGGGACAGATGAGGCTCCCGCTAATCCATGGAATTATTCAGAGGCTGTACACCTCAGGAGGCTGGCCCTTTCTGGAGGGGTTTTCTCACTTACCTTCCCCACTTCAGGCCCTTTCTGGCTTGGGACCATTCAGGATCATGGCAGTTGCTCATGTCAACCTTCCTGAGCAGCTGACACTTGAAATTCAGGGAAAAGATCAATGTTTGCTGAAGATAGAGGTGGCTGCTGGGTGCTGGGAGAGGCCAGTGAGGGGTGGTATGGTAAGGTCAGGACAGGGAACGAAGGTCTAGGTTTAATATCTGGGCTAGTGTGTCCAAGAAAGAGGCTGGGCCTGGTAGATAGGAGGGAGAAGGTCACCCTGGAGGTTGAGTGTGGCTTTGTCACCCCCAGGAGAATGTGTAACCTGGTAACTACAAATTCCAAGCAATTCTTTGAAAGACTGGGGGTGTCTGTGCTGTTCATTGGACATGGGTGTCTTCTCCAAACCTTGTTCTTGACACTGAAAACAATATATGTGTGATCTGAAGCTGTGGCAGTTGAAGTTTTCCATTACTGAAGCCAAAACTTTTGGATTATCGTAATTATGGAGAAGTAAGACATGGTCTTTTTCTTCTAGACATTGATTTTCTAGGACCTTTACCATGAGGACAACAGTGACCTCCTTTATCCTGTAGAAATGGTAATTAATAGACTATTGCAAAGTATGTATGTGTCTAGGATTTAACAGGGATGTCCAACCTTTTGGCATCTCTGGGTCAGACTGGAAGAAGAGTTGTCTTGGGCCACACATTAAATACACTGTGATCTGTAATCACAAAATAATCTCATCATGTTTTATATTTACAGTTTTGTGTTGGGCCACATTCACAGCCATGCTGGGCTGCATGCGGACTGTGGGCCTTGAGTTGGACACCACTAGCACTGTACGAGTATATGTCTGCCTAACAATATGCCTTTTCCCTGAAGCATACAACATCTTCTTTCAAATATTTTTAAAGCTTTTTTTTTTAATATTTATTTATTTATTTATTTTTTAGAGAGGGAAGGGAGGGAGATAGAGAGAGAGAGAGAAACATCAATGTGCGGTTGCTGGGGGTTATGGCCTGCAACCCAGGAATGTACCCTGGCTGGGAATCGAACCTGGGACACTTTGGTTCCCAGCCCGCGCTCAATCCACTGAGCTACACCAGCCAGGGCTGTAATTTCCTTTTGATTCATGTAAAGATCAGTGTTTTAAAAACTAAGGTTTATGTAACTTGTTGTAGACAACTGCCCAAGTCAAGGTTGGCAAAGGTAAATGTGTATAAAAGTTTGTATCATGAGCAATGGATTATGCTGAAAGCATTCAATTTTAAAACAGTCTCAAGTTTTCTTCTGTGTACACTGTTGTAATTTACCTGTTTATTTATATATTGTAATAAAATTATATATATTTAAAGTATATAATGTGATGATTTGATATTTATATAGACAGTGAAATACCACAGTCAAGCTAATTAACACATAATCTGTCAACAGTTACCATTCACTGTTTTTAAATCAGAGGCAGATCTACTTGATTAATATCCAAACCACCCACTCCAGTCATCCTATATTTTCAGACCACGGATGTCACAGCATATAGAGAGTCTGTAATTTATACATACCAGCAGCAATTAATGCCATAGGAAATTCTTGTAATTAGAACTTTTATTAGGTTTATACCACTGATCAAGGCTTTTGAGACATTCTGCAGAAAAAAATATTTAAATTGGGGGACCTTTATCACTGAGTGCTTCAGGTAACCGTTAAATGAATGAGCTTTCTTGAAATGTATTTTCAGGAACATAAGTGTCAGCCTCGGGCCAGTTTTGTGTGTGATGTTTCTGAGGAAACAGCAGCTGTCTAGAAT